GAGCAGGTCTTTTATTAATAAGAATGCAATAATTTGTTCTTTTTGATGATATTCTAAAATTGCAAGAATTGCAGGCAACGCTGGGCTAGCCTGCTTGTTCATCATGAATTAGCTACATAATAATTCCTAATTTGTTGGTTCTATTGATAACTTAGGCATGTTTTTAGAACAAACGCCTCATAGCAGGTTTCTTCATTAAAAAATTTGATGTTTAAATTTAATCTATGATCCATAGCTTCAGTTGATTCAATGCTGACTTTTAGACAAAATTTAATTTGAAATATTAAAGACTGACCTTCGAAGAAATCAGAGAAAAATGCTATTTTTAAACTACATAAATTAATGGGCTCTAACTGTTAAATAAGTACACATGACTGAACTCAATAAACATATTTTAGGCAAGAAAATAAATTCAAACATTGCTTCTTAAGGAGATGGAGACTTGACATGATAAAAAGCCTAGCATCAAGTCTAAATTAAATGATTGTGAGCGCATTCAAATAAATGGCAGGGGACAGAAATTTGGCACACTCAGCACTGCTCTAATTTAGGTGTAGGTAATGTACAATTCTGAATTAACTGATTTTGGTACAATTTTACATCTATATAAATTATTTAGTTAACTGGTTTCAGTAGGTACAGTTTTATATCTTTATACATTATTTAGTTCAGACACAATGACAAAGCCAGGCATAACTGAACATCAGGTACCCAGCAACAACTAGAAAATACAGTCAACAGAGATGCATCTAACTAAACAATTTGTTAAAATTTTCAATGGAGAATTTGTAACCAGGTCTTCGCAAAAATAGTTTTCATGCGACCAAATATTTCTCAATTGATGAGTTTGTCAATGAAACAGAGATAGCAACAAAAAAACAAAAACGCCATGACAGTAGTAAGTATATACCTACACTTGGACCATTAATGAAACATAAATTGTTACTGAATTTTTGTTGTTAATATAAAACAAAAAAGACATAGATGTTGAAAGATATGTAACTATAAAATAAAATTTCACCAGGCACCATGGTCCATGGATATTCCAGTGCATCTTCCTAACTATATAGGTACAAAGCAGCTTAGGAGCCTGACTGAAAATATTGCACAAAACAATAGCTGGCAAGCTCAAAACCACTGACTCATATTGGAAATTAGAACCATGCACTGCAAGCAGTGTAAGGTTTTGTTGAACAGTATTCTTTTCTATGCAGGGTCAGTACTAATGGACAAACTGGAAAATTGGGCAGCAGCCACCCACGAATGAGACAAAAATGGCCATGATTGCAGACAACTTCACTCATTCCTATACTCCTTTCCCAATTTCTTTAGTAAATGGTAAAAAATGCACAATTTTCCCCATGATATTCAAGAATCACTCATGAAACAATTTTTACCTGCTATTATTGGAAAATACAGCCTGATATTCAGTATTGGTTTACAGGCTTAGAACTAGTATTCATCCAGGTGAAGGAATTTGCAAATATTCATGGTTAATCATTTTCCAGATAATAGCTAAATATAAAAGAGAAGATATACATCTTCTCAAATTTTGATCTAATACCTATGCTTTGTGCACTGGATTAAATATTTTCCCTCTAAAATCTAATCTTGAATGTAGTGTCATGGATGCAAATTAATTGAAATGGAATATTTTTACCTGCAATTTCATACAAATCTCTAGACACAATTGTTCTTCCTCACACTCTATACAAATAACAATCAGCCAATACATTGCCCATATAACACATTTCTCTCAAATTCTGTTGATCTCATAGTTTATTTCAATCTCAAATTTGTTATCATAGGAAATTACAATTTCATTGACAAGAGATAGTACAATTTCATCTCTAACATCGAAGTAAAATACTTTTAAGGGGACCATCTACCCTCCATAAAAACTTCTACAGTTATTATCTGATCATCGTGAAACTTCACATACACACGTAAAAGTAAAAAAAATAACATTTTGCTCCTATGAATTTTTTGAAAAAATTGATAGAAAATGTGAAATTCATAGAAAACAGCTAAAAACGGGTACTTTAGAAAATCTATCTCCTCCAACAAATATCATCATACAACATCGAGACACGTATCATTCGATTTGTAAAGACCATACCTATCGACTCTAAGACCATTTTTCTCATTTTCCCCATAGTTTTTTTTATGCGCATTTTCCCCATTTCCCCCCCCCCCTTTCTCCCCATACATAATATGAACCATACACAAATTCCAAAAAATGATCTTAGAGTCGATAGGCATGGTCTTTACGAATCGAATGCTATTGTCTCATTGCTGTAGCTTGAAAACTGTAGGAGATAGGTTTGCCGTGATAGCAATAGGAGGTTTACACCACGCCCAAAAAACTGCTGAGCGGCACAGAAAGGGACGTAAAATAGTCGTAACGTAGCCTAGATACCGTAATTAAGCCTCAAACCAAGTCAGCTAGGCATAGAGCGACTGGCTGCATACCTCTCACCTTGCTGTCATGATGGGCACTGACTGCTTTGGCGGCAGCAGGCTAAATTTATAGTCCTGCTCTCGAATTACGCCCATAGGAATTAGTGAAGGCCACCCAATACCACGCCCCATTCCACAGCGCGCCATGTACGTCAAAATGCAGGTAGAAAGATGTTTCTGGTACCGTTTGATGCGTCAGAAAGCAAGCTTTAAGATGAGTATAAGCACTGGATAATGCCATAATTGGCCGCTTTACGTCAGACGTTCCTTTTTAGTGTGTCCAGCCTTCGAATTAATCCCACAGACTTTACTGAATGGCCCTCAAAACCGCCCCCCTTTAGGGAGCTGTCACGAAATCATTTTTCGATGTAGAGAGATGATTCTGGTACCGTTCGATGCATCAGAAAGTAAGCTTTAAGATGAGCACAAAAACCGGAAAACGCCAAAATTGAAAATTTAGGAGTAGACGGTCCCCTTAATTTCCTCATGACTTATGACTTTTGACTCATGTGTATTGTGTATGTACTAAATAACCCTTTGGGAATATTAGGCAGCAGTCTCCTAAAATTGCCTGCAAAAATTACTATCATTTCACAGATAATTTAAAAAAATATAGATAAAAGCAGGCCATGTTTCTTATTTTTTACAGATGAAATTGACAATTAGAACCAGTGAAATTGGCCAGATTGCCAGGCATTTTTATGCAAATCACAGGTGACTGCTGTCCTATTTTCTACTTTGGCCAGATAGGGGTTGTTTAAAAAAATACTGTCTTGAGCTAGGAGTAAAATGACAGATTTCCCTACATAATTCTTTGAAAAATATGCTACCGTAAAATGGGGTAACTTAGACCGGCGGGGTAACTTAGACCACTTTTCATTTTTTTCACAAAAACCCCCACAGCTCAAAAACTATTTGACATAGAAAAATTTTGTCAATGGGCATTAAAGGCCTAATACTGAGGCTACATAACACAATAGAAAGATTTAAAAAGTTTGCATATCTAATAGGTTAAAAAATTAAAAATGTAACCCACGAAAAAAACCTATTAATTAAAGCCTGTCAGAGTACCCCCTCCAATTTTTTTATTTTTTGGTTAAATAACTCCAGGTTTTGATGCATTGTAGTAGAACTCTTCTAGTTACATATGCAAATGACAAATTTTAGGAAAGTGTCATAGTTTGCAAATGGGGGGCGCCACCCCCAAATGGGGTAACTTAGACCACCTAATGTCAGCCCTGATGGGGTAACATAGACCGGCTTGGAAGTTAATAAAAAATTACCATATATAACATATTTTATGTTTGACAGCCTATTTATGTTTTTTCTTTATGTTTCAGACTCTACAGAGTTTTATATATGGTAATTTTAACTTAATTTCCAAGCCAGTCAATATTACCCTATCAGGGCTGCCATTAGGTAGTCACATTTCCCTCATTATGGGGTGGCGCCCCCCATTTGCAAACTATGACACTTTCCTCAAGTTTGTCATTCGCATATGTAACTAGAAGAGTTCTACTACAATGCACCAAAACCTGGAGTTATTTGGAGTTATTTTACCCAAAAAATAATTGATTTTACCACCCGGTCTAAGTTACCCCAAGAGCTGGGGTAACAAAGACCATTCCTTTTTTTGAAATTACATAAAGACTATGAGAGGCAGGAGCCAGCAATTTATGGTGAGTAAAGCTAGAGTATAGACCTGTATTTTGCATGTTTCAATTCAAGTTTAATTTAGCTAGTAAGAAAATGGCATCATTTATAAGAAAAAAAGTGGTCTAAGTTACCCCATTTTACAGTACATATTTCCTGTTAGAAATAATAAATTTAACTTGATATTTGTAGTAAATATGATAATTTTCTAAGCAATGATTTAAAGCAATCAATTAACTTATAAATTACAAAGCTCTTTTGATCCAGCAGAAAGTTCTGGTTTAATTCTGTTGATAAAAAATATAACTCAGTACTCACTTAAGTGAGTGACAGAGAGCGCATTTTCTCATTGACAAAAATGTGAAGTCATGGACAGTGGACAGACAGACGGACATGACGAGCACAATAGCGCATTTTTTTTCCATAAATGAGAAAATGCACTAAAAAGACTTATTTCTACTGGAAGAGAGTGATTTGGCCAAGGTGGCTACTCAAATGTTATTGACATTAGTCATAGTGGTAGTGGCAATGGAAAAGCAGTGTTTTCTAGACTTTTCCTCGAATTCAATTTTGAGTTCTATGAGATTATGAGAAGGCCAGTAAAGTAAAGTAGTATCATAGATAGATACCACTTACCAGAATTATCATACATATGATATTGTTTTAATTTTAAGTAGCTAAATGAGGAAATCAAACATGAACCGATTCAGAAAATTCTCTGCTTTGCCACTATGACTGTCTGTCATTTAGTCATTAGACAAGGTTCCAGCCTCGTCACTCGTCAGGTCAGGGTTTCAGTTCATGGCTGACTGATGCTGGTCAATGGCTTAATCAGTTAATGCTCAACTCATCAACTGGTACAAGAAACATGCAAATAAAGTATATTACCAAGACTTTAGCGAAGCGTTCTTCCAACTCCTGTCGGTCAGGCATCGGTAATTTAGGTTTGTTGAGACTACCTCCCCCAACTCCGAAACTCGGCACTCGACAAGCAACTCCATTACTTCTTTCAGCTTGACTATCAACAGCGCTGGCACTTTCTCCAGAACATTTACTATCCATGCTGCCCATCTTGGCACATTAAATATAAATTAAACACTTGATTGCAAGACCACTTTCACAAAACATAGTATGAATAACATTCACGCAATACGAGAAGAAACGGTAAGGCACATCCTACACAAGCCATGGCGTCAGTCACACTGACACATTCAGCGCCCGGAAGGATGCACACAGCACACGATGAGGTCACGTTTGTAATGTTGTCCATATCAATCATAGAAAACCCTTTTTCCTTGGATAACTAAATTAATAATTTGATGCTACGTCTGTAAAGTTATAATCATCGAAATTCCTTTGCTGTATAACACTATCTATTTATCAGTCCTAATTAGGAAGTATTAATACATAGCGCGAAACTTTAAATGTAAAGTTTTACTCATAGGTTACTCAAGTAAATATATAGTAAATGAGTGAGGCATGGTAGAAAGTAAGACAATTTTTCTAGAAAGTATCACGTTTCAGACATACGATATAGATACATAAACTATATCGCAGCCAGAAGTAAACTGAAAAAATATATTCGCCAAATATCACAATAAATCGATTTCGGCTCCTACTTAATATGTTATTATTATATGCTAAGTCTTCCTTTTGATCTACTAATGTTATCTAAAGAATTGTTTGGCTCTTTGAAAATGATAATGCATTCTCCGGTCATTAATCGTACACGCGCGTATAAACAAAGTAAATCTCTGTATGCAACTATTCATGCCTTACCTTTATATCTTACCAACGATTTACTCGAGCTGTTTAGTTTTTCGTGCCAGAGCCACTAAGCAGGTGATTCAGAAACTATAAAGCAGCTATTTTCTGTTCATTTGGGCGTCTGTAAGATCGATTCGGAAACCGAAAGAAAGATTTACGATCTTGAAGCTTCCAAGCTTTTGTTATCGACTCCTGCGTCGCGGCCTAATCGAGGTATACAAGTATACTCATAGTTTATGTAAGAATCCAGCAGTTTACTGGAATATGAAACAATAACCAACACCAGGGGCCATGGCTATAAATTATAAATAAAATAGTATAACTCGGTACTCACTGCAGTGAGAGACAGAGAGCGAATTTTCTCGTCGATGAAAACGTGAAGTCACGGACGGATAGACAGGCGGGCGGACAGACAAACGGACGGACGGACGGACATGATGAGCACAATAGCGCCTTTTTTTTCATAAATGAGAAAATGCGCCAAAAACTGCGATGCAACTCATCTATGCCAAAACACTTCGAGTCACCGGTACGCGGAAGAGACTCACGACTGGCATCGTTGACGCTCCGAGGATGAACGCGTTCAAGAACAGACTAGGTAAAGCTATGCAGAGATATATGTTTCGTCTAGATGGGACTTCCATCTCACGATTTGGTCGGTATTCAGCACCGATATGGCTATTCTTCAGTGCCGACATTGCTAGGCTTCTATCATCGCTATTTCTTTGATCAGAAATTCCAACTATTGTATCTCCAATGGGAATTGCGTAATCGAAATGGAAGACTGTTTTTGCATTAAAGGGAACTGAAATTTTTACTTAATCCGTGCGAAAGCTATCATTTCTAATTTATAATATCATATAATATATCATATTGGTATATCTGGAAAGGAGTTATTATTTTCGGCAAGTGTTGTTTATGACCAGAAAGTGCTTTTTATTTAGAATTTTTTTATTGCTTCGTTGCGAATAAACAATGCTCATTGTCAACTAGAATGACGGGTTTGCAAAAGCTTAAAATTGAAAATTTGAAATTTCATCAGCATTATGGGTACAGTCCGGAACTTTAACTAAAAAATGTAAGCTTGAGTCTCATCCTTAATTAGGGATTCATTTATCGCCACTCTTGCAGCGTCGCAGCCAAACATGACGATGCTGGTGCAGACATGAGACACCACATGATGATGCTGGTGCAGGCATGAGGCACCACATGACGATGCTGGTGCAGGCATGAGGCACCACATGACGATGCTGGTGCAGGCATGAGACACCACATGA